ATAGAGACATTGAGTGATTATTTAAATCTCAATAATCAATACATAATTGAATTTTGTGCAGTTTAAGTTTTTATTTTCGAGCAAGGGTTGATGAAAAAAAAACCTATTGTATTTAACCTATTTTTTTATATAAACAATTCAGTACAAAATGTTAATTTTTGAGTAGGAAAATATTTTTATTGTTTTTTAATATGTTCTCATTTAAATACGTAGATGTAAACTGAGATTTAATATTTTCTAATTGTATACTTTCAGCATTTATAATTTATATAAGATCTTACGATGGAGGTATCCCAATTGTATAAGAGCTTTTGACTTCATCTTTTGGCTACAAGTAGGTTTCAGTGAGACTAAGAAAACCCTAAAAGCGTTTGTGCCCATGGCTTGTCGGTCAAAAGTTACAGCCATTTTACTGAATTTTCGATCTAGAGTACCATATCCACAGCAAGGTCAAATGATGCTATTTCGATCTAAAAGTTTGTCCATAAACTACTCTGATGATTTCTAACATGTGCCAAAATTTTCAACCAAATCAAATGTTTCCTTTTCGAGATATTGAATTTTCAGATATGCCTCTGTATTGTATCCTGTTTGTTAATAACAAAACAATTTTTTGAAAATTCAATATCTCAAAAATGAAACATTTGATTTGGTTGAAAATTTTGGTACATGCTAGAAATCATCAGAGCAGTTTATGAACAAAATTTTAGATCGAAATAGCTTGATTTAACTTTGCTGTGAATACTATGCTCTTGGCTGAAAATTCAGTACAACGGCTGTAACTTTTGACCGATAAGCCATGGGCACAAACGCTTTTAGGTTTTTCTTAGTCTCACTGAAATTTACTTATAGCCAAAAGATGAAGTCAAAAGCTCTTAAACAGTTAGGGTACCTCCCTCATTAGTTTATTTTTAAATAGAATATTATGTTAATTTAAATTAGTGGATCTAATTTCTAACTGTAACAGAAGAAATGAGCAGGACATACATAAAATGAATCTATTAATGAGATAAATAAAAATAAAAGATAATAAAATCTTGATTTATGATGAAAAATCGTAAAAAAATATTTAAAACGTTATTTATAGCTTTTGAACATACGATCATAATGGCGATTGAACATGAGTAAACAGATTTTTAAATGATATTAAAGATATGGAATATGTTCTCATATTATTATGGTTCGAGACCAAAAGGTAAGATTATTTATTGTATTACTCATAAAGGCTCCACAAATGCACTAAACAAATAATTGTTTGTTTTTGTCAATAAAATGAAAGAAATAATATAAAAATATGATTTTCTTGCATGATCTATTTAATTATCTTATAAAAATTATTTTGAATTATTTTTTTAACCATTATTTATTTTTTCTCTATAAAAATTTTCTTTTCATTCTCTCAATCTATTTTTTTTAATTACCTCGTTCTATATATATTCTTTTTATTTTCTCATGCATTCCAAACTCAGCTGAATTCTCATGTCAACTGTGACAACCAATCGTATGCATATATATATACATATATATGTTTTTTTTTCGTTCTGTCGAACGAACACAAACGAACGAGCTCATTTTTGGTAGCTGCTCAGCCCATTACTCTTCTTTCAGTAGAGAGAATAAAGATAAGGTAAATGTTAGAATTGTCGAGTAAATGAATGAGGAAAAAAACGTCAGTTATACACTCATTCATTCTTGGTTTAGACTATATAGAAATAGATGACCCCTTCTTCTTGCTGACGGTAGCGAATGACGTAGAGCAAGAGAATATATAAATAATTGTTAAAAAAGAATTGATACATGCAGATGAACATGGAACATTTATCACACGTCAAATTGACAGATATACCCGATGAAATGCTTCTGTTGATCTTGACTAAATTGATCAATATTGNCCCCCACCCCCCCCCCCCCCCCACACCCACGCCCACACCCACCCCCCCCCCCACCCCCCCCCACCCCCACACCCATCCACACCCACACCCACACCCACCCTCTGCATTAACCGATACGAACTCGATACACATACGATATATCAATACACATCAGTCTATGTGCTATGCAAGCAATGTTTTACATCTACGTCACGCGTGCCAACGTGATACAATGCTTAATCGCCCACAGAGAGAACCAGTAATTCACAAGCGAGGTTGTCATGGAAAAAAGAACCAGTAAATTCATGTAATATTTTATTTTTGTACAAATAGAATGTCTTTTGTGTCTTTTTTTTTTATCCAAAACAGAACTATTTTTACTTTTTCTTATTCTCATATACAATCGTTCAAAATTATTCCAGCTTGTGCTTTAGATACTTCAAAATCCCGTTATTTTTATTGAATTAAACAAATATTTAGTGCTTTTTTTTCAGAAAAAAGAAGCTATTTTGTACCCTCAGGATCACTCAAAAAGAGAACAACTAATTGCTTTTTCTTGAATAAATGAAGCCTTACGAAAAACAATCCGAGATGATCAAAAAAAGATAAGAAGATATGCTATTTGCTTAAAAAATAGATCAACAAGTATACCAGTGAACGATATCAGACCTAAGGATATGGTCCACCTGTAGAAATGAACTATTAGAATAATTATTAAAGTGCATCAATACACTGTAGAACATGTAGTCGTCATGCTAGTAGTCCAGTTATGGTATGCATACTAGTGTGCATACCGCACAGATCACAGATCACATAAGGAATGTTTCAATTAGCATGATTATTGTCGCTTGAGGCTTGCAGATGTCTCTCGATTGCAAATTATTTCAATCAGGATCTAAAATAATTTTTGATTGGATATGATTGAAAAAAAATGAAATTTAGGATGGATGAAAAAAATAATAACTATTGTTGAAGATTCGAATAACGACAAAAAAGTTCATCCCATTGAAAAGAGGAGATGTAACCATTGGTAAAAAACCTGTCATCATCATCATTGCATTTCGTCTTCTATCATCTTCATCAACATGGAGAAGGTTTCTTTTTTTTTTTTATTTCACTTGATTATGATTCATTCGAAAGCAATTTCGATCGATGCTTTTGTGTGACATCAAACGAAGCCAAATAGAAAATCTCTCAGCTGAATTGATCATCGATCAAAGTGATCGAAGAAGATATCGATTGATTTGGCTTTGAGAGGCACTATTTTGAATGTTATTGTTACTGAAATCATTCTCGAATTTAGTAAGAACATCCTAGATGACTTATAGCACACCAATGATACGACACAAATTTTATGACATATAACTTGAAATGATTTGAACTGTAAGCGAAATTCAGGTTCAAATTCAAGACGAAAAATTCTACTTTCAATTCTACGCTTTGTAAGGCATTCGTCAAACTATCAATGCATAATTCACCTTTTATATGAAGTTTGCCGTCCCATGTTTTAATCATCCATTCATTAGAATTTTGTCCTTCTCGTGCGCAAATATCAACTACTAGTGAGTGACAAGAATAAACTTTTCGTATGCTTTCGAGTTTTGTGTTCGTTTCAAATGGCAATATGAAGCGTCGAACTGCCGCAAGATTTTATAACTAACTCTTTATTTATGCAAGCTCTTGACTGACATTTTAGTCATCTTCAAACAATTGACGATTTATTTTCTTTCTTTGAGGATTAACACATTGAAGACGATTCGATTCTCTTAGAAAATAGATCTAACAGATTCTTTCTGGTATGCATTGACCTTTCGATAAATGCTCTCGTTGGCCTTTCAGCCTATGCTGTTAGGTGATTTTCTTTTTTCTAGCGATCTTCGCTCTTTAATATGCTGTTTGAACAGCTAAAGCTTGATCCGAGACAAAAATCAGCAAGTCATTCGAAATACAAACTCTGAGAAAAGGAAAGATCTACATGCATTGTCCAAAGATGCTATGCTAGATGCTATGAGGAAAGTAGAGAACAACAATGGACAGCAAAGAAAATAAAAACCTTCTCTTTTGATTTTGACAATTTTCTTTCTCTTGATTGTTTTAACGAGAAGTATCACGCTATACAATAAATGATTTCAACAATAGCAAAGGCAGAGTAGATGACATATTATGTGTAACTTCCTGTCTAAGAAAGAAAGCGTTTTTCCATTGAATCTCTTGTTAATCTTTTGGTGACGGAGTTTTTCGAACGATGCCAATAACTTTGATTTTTCCATCAAAAGTCTGAGAAAGAGTATATACATTCAGAGAAAATAGCGTTTTGTAGCAGACTTGATGAAGTTCCATGAGATTTTGCGATTGCAGTTGACTCTAGTACTTATGAGTCTCATTGAATACTGCAGATAGTTCAATGGAAACCTTGAAATTCCATATCAATACACAGATCTAATAAAGTTTTATTTCTGATTGTCTGTGAGGCTAGAACTTAAGCAGCAGTCGTAGCCTCTTGGAGCAATACTGGGGTCTCGTGCGATTTTTATGGAATTCTGTTTGAGTTCGTAGGACTGCAAAAAATTCTCAGTTTGGAGGTTTCATAGATTCTCATAATGTTTCAAATTCAAAATTCCTTGTTTCTTTTTTGATCCATATTCTTAGTGGCACCATGCAAAATCGACGTAATAGAAGTTCTAATTTATGTAGAAGCTCAAAACGTATACATGTGTTTGCCGTCGCCAAAGAGTTATAATATAATGGAATCCACCGGTAGATTTCATCACCTCACATGTATTCACATTGTGATCTGTTCGATTCGTACTAGATCGCAATCTCGTCTACTATTTATTCATTGTCTTCATCTATTGTTTCGTTTGATATTCTTCACGACTCTTACTGTTGCTACTAATTCATATAGAACATACGAACAAACATTGATTATGGCCATTACAATTGTGAAGAATATTAAATTGAATGGCGGAGAAACAGGATAAATAAATAGTAGACTGGATTACGAGGGAGAACGAATAAAACAGCTGAAAATGTTATTAACTCAAGAAAAAAGCATCACTTACCTAAAGATAACTGAAGTGCCTGTCGAAAATTTGCACAAATAAAAACATTGTTTCAGAGATTTTCTCAATGTTTACTCTAGCTCTTTGGTTAGCTTTCTTATTTGTATTCACTACTGGTCTACAACACAATCTATTAACTACATCTCGTCCCAATTTTCTTATCATCGTTGCAGATGACCTTGGCTATACAGATATTTCACCCTATGGATCTGAAATATCTACACCCAACCTCGAATCTCTTGCATCAAATGGTGGAACTCTTTTTACTGATTTTCACACGGCCTCAGCATGTTCTCCTACACGTTCGATGTTGCTCAGTGGAACCGATCATCATCTAGCTGGTATCGGACAAATGAGTGATGTTATACAACGCTATCAGCAAATTTGGGGTGGAAAACAAGGCTATGAAGGATATTTGAACAATCGAGTTGCCACTCTTCCCGAGATCCTTAAAGAGATTGGTGGATATCGAACAATGATGACTGGTAAATGGCATTTAGGATTGACAAAGGAGCAATTTCCATCGAAGCGAGGTTTCGAAAAGAGTTTTGCGTTCTTACGAGGTGCCGGCAATCATTTCAATTATCAAGTTCGAACAACAGAAGAAGATCCAATATTTTTCTTAAAGTCTTCGTTGTATGCACGAGATGACGAATTTGTTAATCATACAACTTTGCCTAAGGACTACTATTCATCGGATTATTTTACATCGGAATTGATTCAATTTCTCGACGAAGATGATGAACGACCGTTCTTTGCCTATCTTGCTTTCACTGCTCCACATTGGCCTTTGCAAGCACCGAATAAATTGATCAAGAAGTACAAAGGAAAATACAATGCAGGACCAGACGCATTGCGTGCGGCTCGACTTGAAAGTCAACGGCAATTGAGATTGCTTCCTCCTGATGTCATCTCCGCAACGTTGCCGACGAACGAAAAGTCATGGGCCTCGATGTCGGACGAAGAACGAACGTTTTCGGCAAAAACAATGGAAATCTACGCAGGTATGGTGGACCGAATGGATTATAATATCGGTCGCCTGGTTAACTATCTTCATCGAACGAACCAATTCAATAATACATTTATTCTTTTCATCTCCGACAATGGAGCAGAAGGAGCTGTTCTCGAGGCACTTCCACTTCAATCGATTGATAAAAGTGTCGTATACTTTGATAATTCCTATGAAAATATTGGTACGAAAACTTCCTATATTTGGTATGGTCCGCAATGGGCACATGCAGCAATGGCGCCATATCGGTTGGCGAAAGGACACATAACAGAGGGTGGAATCCGATGTCCGGCCATTGTGCATTATAGTCCATTGACGTCGACATCGAGGAGAGTATCACATGAATTTTCTACTGTCATGGATATTCTACCTACCATACTCGAATTAGCCGGTGTGACACATCCGGGTACAACATTCCAAGGTCGGCAAGTCCTTTTACCCCGTGGAAAGTCTTGGGTGTCGCATCTTCGTTGGCATCAACCAATTCATGACGAATGTCAAGATTTCACTGGTTGGGAGCTCTTCGGTGAACGAGCAATCCGTCGTGGAAACTATAAAGCTGTGTATATTCCCAAAAGACCACTTCCGCATGAGACTAGATGGGAGTTGTATGATTTGGCGAAAGACAAAAGTGAATTGAAAGATTTGGCAGCAGACAAACCGGAAGTGTTGAAAGAACTGACTGAATTATGGTTCAAATATGAGAATGAAACTGGTGTGATCGTAGCACCGAATCCTTATGAACTTAGTTACAAAGGTCCTCAAAAGAAGAAATAGTAGTCTCATAAAGCTTTTATTCCATCTTTAAAAGAAAAGAATGTTGATATGCTTTGTAGTGGATTGCAAATAAAAGATTACATGTAGTCTTATTAATATTGACCCAATGTTTATCAATTGTGCAATTATTTTAAAATATTTTCCAGATTAATGATGTTTAGTATTAGAGTTTTGTACGGTTACGACTTTCTATCGTTGCAACCGACCTGAATACGAACAAAAGCAAATGTGTTTCATTTTGTCTTTATTCACTGAGATCTAGAACAAATAAATGATCATACCACCAGTAATGTTTTTTGAGTTAACTTTCGCATGAAAGAAGATACACATCTTTTTGCCCTACCTTTCTTGAGGTACTCTTGTGCATTTTTTGCCATTTCTGACTGCCAGCCATACAACAACCAATTAATTAGTTGAACTGAAAATTTTACTATAGCTACAACATAGAAAATAATTGAACTTGTTTTGAATAAAAAGTTTGATAAGAGGATGTTCACTAGTCTTTCAGGAAATCTTCTGATCTCGTGTAGTTTCATCATCTCCGCTTAAGACCCTCACTTTGTATGATCGGATTGGCATTTTTAGTACGTATACTTGAAAGAATTCTCTAGAAGTCTATTTTCCCGAATGCTTTGCTTTTCCGAGAACATTTTTCGTCTTGATCATTTCTGGTGTTATTATGAACCACCACCATTAGATTAATATCGTCATTTTTGTGCTATCTTTTTATGATACAGAACAAATCACTGCCTTAGTTAAACAATACTCTGGAAAATTTCAAAGTGTGGATGTAGAGTAAGTAATTACATCCGCATTATATTATCTATAACTTTTTCAAGTTACTTAAGAGACTTTTTTAATTAAGATAAACTTGTTTTATTCATTTACTCTTGTCGTATTTACTATACAGCTTTTTTTTTCTTTTCTAATATTCAACTACATACGCATATGCTATAGTCGTAAATTTTATCTCATGAATAGCCCTTTTTAAGTGATTTATTTTTGATTGTGATATCATAGAATGTTTGTCTCTATGTTGACAAATTTGCATTCGAATGATGTTATAAACAGCCTTGATTAGAGACAAAAAAACACTTTCTCTCATGAAAACTTTCAAATGATATTTTTCGATGGCGTTTCAAGTTGAAAAAGCACTTTCTTAAAATAAAAATCAATGCATTTAAAAGCAAAAATAGCCATTTTTGCTCAAAAAATCGGCATGAAAACTCTGTTTTATATAATTTATTTTTCATGGAGCATGCAACACACGTTGATATAAGAGCAAGAAAGAGAAAGAAGAGACGATCGCTATCATGACATAAATACAGCTATACATTACTGTATTATAAACAAGAAACAGTTATACAATTCGAAAATCTTGTCTCGTAAGAGATCGATAAGATTATTAGCATCGTGGGTAGTCCTCCTCATGCTACAAACGAATGTAGTCAGTCATTTTGTAGTTTTTTTACTTTGTTGTCAATACCATCTTGAAGATGGTGAACATTAAATATTAATATTTTAAATTGCACGATATTTTTTTGTCTTTGCTGGCCATTATCCGATACGTTCTTAAAATCTTATACCATAAAATGATATGGAACACTATGTCGAGTATCACTGGTAACAATCAAATGAAAATTTTGCAAGTAAATCTATTTGTCCTGAGGATTTAAATAGAAACAAAACCGAATAGCTCAATAAGATCCTTGCTCACGCAGTAACACTGACATTTTTACTTATATTTTCGATTAAGGAAATAGGAAGTGAAATATTCTTAACCATTTTCAACGTATTTTTTTTAATTTTTTATATTTATGTTCATGTCTGGTTATAAACCAATATTTCTAGTAGATATAAACAATTTATTAATTATGCCATCAATAAATACTGATGAAAGATTGCAGAAATTTTTATCTATTCTTCAAACAATAAATTAATAGATTTATTGGTATTGAATAATGAGAACAACGCTCCTTTAATTGATTACAGTACATTAAAAAAATATGAATCATTAATAATCGATTTAGAAGAAACTACATATGAAGCAAAATTCAAAAAAATATGTAATACAATTTCAACACCACTAAAACATGAATTATTAGCACTTTTTCAATTGAAAACAATACGATTTGACCCATTGCATGAGAAATTATGCGCTGCATTACTTGATGGTAATTATGGTGCTACACATATTTCAGAAGATACATATAATGATATGGTTCCTATTTATCAGAAAATTGCAGATGTTATTGGCATTTTAGATTATAAACAATTTATTAAAATTGTTGTTTGTAGACAAAGATGCAGTGTAGATCAGCACAAATTAACAGATAATTATCTTAATCGATGCAAGAGATCTCACATGAAACCAATTTTTTGTGGATTTATTTAAAGATCTTTATTTGAATAGTTGAGTCAAATGTAAAATAGGAGAAAAGAAAGCTGTAGAAAATTTTTTCACTTTTTATGCTGAAAATGGTGAATATCGTTGAAAGATGATTATTATTTTTTTCTTTGATGAATTATGTTTTGTTTTTTTTCTATAAAAAGATCTGTTGTCTTCATCATTTTTTACTTGTAGAAAAAATATTCTTTTTCTTGATAATTAAATATAATCAGATAGGATTTTTATATTCTTTTTAATCTGCTTGTTCATTTTTACAAAAGATTAGATATTTAAAAATAGCTTCAGTTTGTTTCATTCACCCTATTTTTTCTAAAATAATCCTTAGAGAAAATTTATTTTGACCTAGTTCTTACAAAATATTTTCGAAAGTACTTGGATCTTTTCCTAAAAAAAAAATGATTTAACTTCTATCAATAACTTTAAATTCTCGTAAATGAAAAAAAGAAAAGAAATAACTTCAATTTGTGAAAGTTTTATTTCATATAACTGACATCATGTCTTGCATTTATTAAGAAAGATTTGAGATTTTTGTCACTGATATGTTAGGAACTTTGCCTTAATATCGTCTGTAGAATAATCTAGACAAATTTTGTTACAGAGTTGGATGCGGATCTGCCCGTTATCGATTCATTTTTTTGTTGTCTTTAACATAACTATTTAACCAAATCTATGTTTTCCTCTTTTTACTGATTTCATACATTCTACTAGATGGTCAAAAACTTTCAATGACTTCTACATATTATGTTGTGTTTTAACTACACAAATGAGCAGAAAAAATGTATTGCATTATGTAATCCTCGCTTACTCCTGCTACTACGTAAACATTTAGATGGCTATATTTTCAACCTCATGGCAGTATTTCTAATACATATCTTAATGGATCATAGCATCCTCTAACGAAGCATAAAATGATGCGTAGTCACTTCTGGTCTATTTATTTATTTATATATTACTTATACGTAACATAACAACATATTTATGTCTAGCGACATTTTCTTTTCTCTACACGACCAAGTACCATACTATCAGACGAGGTTTTACTCGTTGCTATTCTCTTCAACTAGTGACATGTGCTAACTTATCAAAGTTGAATATCTATCTAAAAGCAAAGCGAGAATAAATCAGCATACTTTATATTTATTAAACTAATTTGAATGCATTCAAAATAGTTAGTAATGTTTGACGAAAACACATGTAAAAAAAATTATACAATAGACGCCTCAAACTATATATTTAAAGAATTTGTTTTACTGTGTATAAAAAACGCATTATATTCTTATTTGTAAGAACGTTGCAGACTATATATGTGTGAATATTTGACTCTAAACATCTAAATATTGTTAGATGAATTGATTAAATCCGCGATCTTATGCGTTAAAACTGAAGTATTCTTTTGAATTTGTGTGTGTAAAACATTTCAATCAATGTAAAAGTGTTTATCAATCAAATGATTCTTTTTTTAAATTTTTATATCTGTACTAAAATGATTCTCTTCCCACGCTCATTTCAACAGCCGATCACTATTTAGATTCGGATGCGCTTTTCTCTTAAGTTGTTGTTCTTCTTTCATTTCTAAGGCTTGTGAAATTATCACGAACGCGAATGTTAAGCCATGTGAACAACTAGAGAAATTTAAATTTTTCCTTGGGTATAATAAAGAAATTAACATAGGTAATTATCAGTGTTTTATTCAAAGTGAAAAATCGCGTGATGCACGTCGTCCTCCAATTTACATTCACCATAATAATGATGGTAGTAGATGTTTTAATATCATCAATATGATGAGTTCGTTCAGAAGCATTTAATAAAAACATCTTCATCCTGAGCAAAATAGACAACATAAGGGGTGTGGGTGTGGGTGGGTGTGGGTGTAGGTGTGTGGATGACTCTACTGATGAGAAAGCTACAGCAGCCTACACCCACACTTTTTGAATAATATCCATTCACGATATACAGTACCATAACGTGCATTTGCAAATATCCATGGATTAGCCGAGTCATTTAATTCACAATCTCTCCGTAATGTATAAATAGCATTGAGAAAATTCTTGTAGATTTGTCTCTGATAGAGTTCATTTGTTTGTTTTAAATCAAATGCTCATCGATCAGCAGCAATACGTTGCTGTTCATCTGTAGCACGTTTAATTGATTTTCTGTATCTGTTCATTTGCAACAGCTGTATAGATACCAATAGCGATAGGAATTGCAGTTTCAATCAAAAGAGTTAAACATTCTATGAGTGTTATTTTACAATAACGAGATTTGCTCGTTGGTTTCTTTTTACTTAGTGATCTAACTTGAATATGATACTGCGTCATTTGAGAGATTCAGTGGGTTCAAGATGTTTTATTTTATTTTCGAAACTAATGAAGAGAATTTTATGCGGTGAATCCTTGCTTTATTTGAAAACAAATATGGTTAGAAGCTTCTGTTCATTCTTTTTTTCTTCAAAGAAGAAAAAGTTTCGAACACGCTTTTCAAATAGGCGAAGCATACATGAAACACGTATTTCTACGTATTTTTTTTCAGAGTTTAGAGCACGAACAATGACAATGAATGCTATATTTGATTACTCAAAAAAAAACACAATTTGACAGTCAAATGCAGAAACTCAATACTATAATGACAATAATAAAAACTGCTGACGTCAGAGCAGGCTGTGGCTGATGGTGAAGGGTGGAGCTCCTTTTAATTTTCATCCTCACCCACAGTCATATGCCCACTAACACTACATGCACATCAACACCAACACCCACACCAAAAACCCTTTTGAATATTCTTTATTATGATGACATGCTAAATTGGAAATCATTAAAGATTTCGATCATAACTCTACTTCATAATATTGTATTCTGACAAACGAAATGATCGGTGCACCTACACTATTTAATTCATTCCAGCCCTATTCAGATTATATATGTTCTAGTCACTGCTTCATTCTAATTAACCATCTAAATGTTTGTATCTATCTCAACAAAATCCTTTCGTCTTTATTAAAAATGATGTTCAACCTTCCATAGTTGAATAGATATTGTCCTTTAAATTAGATTGTCTACTAGTTTCAACCGATAAAGTTGATACATCGTAAAAGTTACAACAAAACATCTCAAGAATATCTTTTAATCTTTATTTTTATTGTTAATATGCTCAATAGTCATCCGTAATAAAAGTTTTTGTTTAATATATTTCATTGTTTCTTTGAGCTGTTTTCTATATAAATTAGATGGTAGAATGAAAATACTGAATATAAGAGCCGAAGGATATAAATGATATGTAATACGCAATCAAAAATAACCAGGGATCACGAGCTGATTTCATACAACCAGACAGAAATAAAATAATGAAACGAGGTAATGCTAATGTAACAAGAACACATAAAGAAATGAAAAGATGTTTGTGTCGCTGAAACTGTATATGAATATGCTGATAGTAGGACAACTGACTCTGTGTTTTTAATCGTTTTCGAGCTAATACGATAGTTATTATAATAGATGAAAACAAATTGATCATGAATGGCGTGAGAAAATGGAAAAGGACTATAAATGAATTGAAAATTTGAATAGATGAGGAATATTTCGTTATACACCAAGTACGTTGCTCGTATTCATCATCAATTAAATGACGATGGATAATGTCCTGAATTGAAGTACTAGTAGTAAACAATATAATGAAGATAATCACCCATTCAACAATTCGTTTACTTTTTGATTTATTAAAGTTGACTCCTTTGACGGCTGAGACGATACGTTCAATTGCCACATATGCATTGAGCCAATCGCCGCTAATGAGAAAAACTCGAAGGAAAAAATCAATAAAATTACAGTTGAATCGAAGAAAAAATCGATTTGTGACGAGACCCATTTGTGAAATGAGAAGAAATGAAAATTTCAGTGCAAATATGAACATTGTCAACAAAGTCATAAACGATGACGCGACAATACAAATACTACAAACAACCATATGTCTTTTCTTACCTTGAAGAGTGACAATACAAAGTAGACTATTAATTAAACCGATTAATACTATGATTATGATAACACCAGTAAATATTTTAGTTATCAATGGTTGATCTATAAAATGAATATTTGGGCGAATATGATATCCAAGAATGATATCGAGTGAAAGACTAAAGCCTTTGGTTGAGAATTGACATTGAGAACCATAATAACATTCTTTGCATGAACAGGCAGATGATGTAGGACATTTGGGATCATCCTGAAAGCACTCACCATCATTTTCACAATAGTTTGTTCCTCCACAGTTATAAGTCATATTCTGCACAAATTCGAAACAATTAGCATGTTGATACAAATTACAGAGACACATATACGTATCATCATAAAAACATACAAGATTTGGTCTTTCTTGACAAGAAATATGGTAATATTTTATACGACGTATAATATGTAAACTGAGAAAACTTGTGTTAAAAAGTTCATTGACAGATAAACATCGATGAGATGGAATTACTTCTGGTGAAATTCTACCTGATCGAATACGTTTTTCTTGTAATAGAATTAAATAATAGTTTTTATTCAATTCAGCAAGTAAGATATGAAATGGAGCATTTCGATAAATTATGACTGAATCTTGATAAACAGGAATTTTTTTTGAATGTAGTCGTTCGAATAGGTAATGCTACTTTATATTCATTTTTATCAAATCCTTCAATAAAATGAACAATTATAATAGATGGAATAGTCACTTTACGAAATGTAATACTGATGTTAGTATCTCTAAATTGACATTTCGGACCTGAAAAACCATTCTGACAAATACAGGTTACTTTATTTTGTGTAAAATGTACATCCGATAACACACAGACACCATCATTCATGCACGAATTAGATCTACAAGGAATTCTCTTCAAATAGCATCGAGGACCGAATTTATTCAGAGGACATAGACAAATCAATGTACTAAGACAAAGAGAATCAGGTGAACAATTGCAGACATCTTGATTTGAGCATCGATGACCCGACCAACCATAATCACAATGACAAAAGTATGTTTCTGTATTTTCGTATTTCAAGCATTGGTCATGTATACCACAATTGATAGAACATTTTTTTATTGATTGAGTAGGAATATTGATTTGCAAAGCCATTCGATGAACAGGTAAGAATGGAAATTGAATAGGAAATAACCAACTAGCATGATATGCCAACGAAACTTTTTTAAAAGCATCAATTCGAATAATATAATTTTTTGAAAGATTTTTTGGTCTAGTTGAAAAGAGAAGATAAAGATTGAATTTTGTATTACAATCTCGAACTGATAAATATTCAATCTGATCATAAGAATTAATATGTTGATCGTCATCGTCGATCAATGTCAAAACAAGTACAAATATTGTTTGTGAATTAAACAAAGCATGCACTTGTAAGGTGAGACTAACACGTTGATTTTGATATTGACAAAGATCTTCATAATACGTTGGTGGACAAAGACATTTTTCCTTCATATTATTACCTCCGAGCCAAACACGAATATTTAATCCTCGATTACATCGCCAAATTGATGTTAAATTAATATTACGCTGTACTAGTTCAATTTTCTTTTCAACAACAAGACTTCCATCAACTGGAACAAAATCTTGTTTTACATTTGCACTTTTAAGTTCAACAGGATAAATACGTGAATCACTCAATGAGAGTGGGACAAATTTCTTTTTTCCAACATCAGTCAAAGTACATAGGAAGTTTTCGACTTCTGTTTGATTTCTGTATAAGTTCGAACATCGTGGACATCCAGATGTACAAAACTGTTCATCATCGCCATAGAGACATTCTTTTCTACCAGAACAAAGATCAATCGGCATCTTACAACTTGTGCTTTTACTACACCAAAAACGAATTGCGTTTAAATGAGGATGTTGTCTTCGACACAATTGTCGTTCATCCGATGCACCGAGACAATCAACATTTCCATCTCCAGCTTTTTCAATAGGTAAACAAATAAGAGAATTATTCAAAGGTGAAACACACATATGTTCAAATAGAGGGCATTTAGATGGAGGACAATTCACTTCACCAGCACCATTGAAGCAATTCCAATTGCCATCACAACGTGTGTAACTGTTATTACATTGCCACATGTCACATTCTGTTTCATCCGTATGCTTTTGTCCATTAATTAGTATAGGAAAAAGCAATAAATCGATGACTCCATCACATACCGTTTGAAAGTAAAGACGTCGATTTTGTTGTATAAGATCAGGAGAATATTCACCCTCTAAACAAACCCCATTATCTATTCGTACCAAAATAGGCGAAAAACATTTGTTTTTTGCATGGAAAACGATGTTTTCCATTTGTTAATGAGCAACTTTCATTGTATTGTTCATCATCATTCATATAACAATCCTGAATTTCATCGATAAGACGATGTTTTGATATGCATTTATTTTCTGTCGAATTGCATTTATATAAATGATGTTGATGGTGACAATATCCATCTATGGTGGTTGAACATGTATGAAAGATTTTTTTTAAATGTGAAATTAATCGACTCTATGAATTAACGTAAAAGATATTTATTTCCCAATCAAAAATGTATCGACAAGCAGAGTAATTCTTAAATTGAAATGTAGATGGAAAAGAACATAATTGAGCATTATAACATATATATTTTGGATATAAAATGTCGACAACAGATATATCAGATTCATTATTACCGTAAATAAATTGAACGTGCCCATACAGAATAGGAACTTCAGGAAATTGAAAGAGTTCTGGGCAATGTTCTTCTGTATCCAATTCTGTTTCACATTTGTTGAGACCACTAATACATACCATAATATCCCGACATTGATTTGATATATTTGATGTCATTTCAATCATTTCTTTTTTAAACAGTACATCTCGTTTATTCGTACATGTAGTCAATGTACATTCACCATCACCGCACGCGAAATCTTTAACTATTCCTGGCCGACATGTTATATCTTCACAACGAAATGCTGGATCGAATGAACATGAATTAGGATAATCTGGTAAAGTAGGTTCATCTGTTCCATCTAGACATTCCCGATTAATTAGATCATCTCGTAAAAATACTTCTGGAATACATTGACCATTATGACATCGATATTCATTCTCTTTGCATTCATTTATTTCTAATTGATCACAATATGCTTCATCAATACCTCCATTAATACAATCAATTTTACCATTACAAATCTCGCGCCAATCGAGACAAGCACGAAATAATCCACCACAATTACATTGTAAATATATACAACATGAAAGATTTGTAAAGATAACATTCTCTCCTAAACTTAAATTAGATTAGTCTTTTTTTTGTTGAAATATTTTTTTCACCACGGCATCAAATGATAAAGTAACGCTGTTAAAATCAAATGAATATTTACATAAAGGACCAAACCAAGGTTGTGAACAATTATAAAATACACTCTCAGATAATGAATCATTCCCATTTAAATATATTTCATAATTTTCAGCAAGATCAATCGGTGCTGACTATTGATATAATTGATAACTACTTACATTTTTCATTCGTAATTGATCGAATGTGAAATTTCTATCACGTGTATTGGAAGCATTTAATAAATCGTTTTGGATTTTTTCTAATGGTCGAAAGCAATAAACAATTATTTGGTGAACAAGTATATAATTTGCTCTCTGATACTTTAAAATATCTTCATTAACATAGTAATGCAAGCAATCATACATTAATTGATGATCATTAATTAATAATCGATCATTATTCGTATTATATACATTAAATTGCTCAAAGGATTTTAAATAGATCATTAAAATAAATAATAAAATGAACACCATCATTTCTTTCACATCTCATTCACAATGAAATAATATTATACTGCAACAATATATATATATATTTGTTAAGATGTCTATAAACTATTAACAAAATCAAGAGAATTTTATGGGAAGATAATTTCTGGTCAGTAAAATAAATGAAATGGTCAGTAAAACAATAGGCAAATGATCAGTGCTAATATTGAATGGTCTGTAGTGAAATCGTCAGTAATTAATTCAAAAATGGTCAGTTTTTTATATAAAAATATCAGTAAAAATTAAAAACTTGATAAGTAAATAAATCAAATTCGGTGAGTAAAAAATTTAAATTTGATCAGTAAACAACTCAGGTTTTATCAGTAGAAAAAAGAAGTTTTATTTCCATAAAGATTAATTTGATATACAAGAAAAGAAATTAAATAAAGACACAGAATAAATAAGAAATCCAAGAGGATAGTAAATAGAAATGAAAGAATGGCATGAAAAACAAAGAATGAAAATTGAACTATTGTATTAGTAAAGCAGCCTTAGCTTTCGCTGGTCTACCTCGTTTTCTTTTTTCACCTATTGGTACTGTTTTTGCTGCTGGTGGTGGTTTGCAATGTTTTAAACGAATAGTCATACCAACAATGTGTTTGCATATATAATGCTTAAAAAACGCTGGACAGTTACATTTTGNTACAAAGTGTAACGGCGACAGTCATGCGAAAATTGATTTTCCAGGTGAACTTGAGGGGGAAGAACGGCTTTTTGCTAAAAAAATGCCTTGAGAATTAAATGTCTCGACAGAAATAAGATATAAACACGAACTCTTTTCAGGATATTCATAGCTCATTAGAGCCTACATAATGCGCATTGTCTCGATTCAAAAGCGATTTGGAGGCTGGAAATTGCTCCGGATCCGTTTTTTTCACCCCGCTGCGGGGCGGGGCGGGGAGGAGGAAAGTTTCGCGAAGATCCCTCTATCCTTCCTCAGTGCTGAACCCCTGAATGTCCTCGATTATTTTAGTACCCGTGACTGACCGTGATCAAGCTCCAGTCACGGTCACGGTCACGGTCACAATCTTTGAAACAAAATCACGCATGGTGACGCCTGTGACCGTGACTCACGGTGGTCACGCCGGGCACTAATCCTGACATCCGTAGTTTAGTACGGCGACACTACTGTCCTTCGAAAAATATATATGAGCTTCACAAACCAGTTGAGCTCACATCCTGGTTACTATAAGACCGTATTCCCGAACCTTTGATCGTTTAGTTCGATTGCTAAGATCTTCGGAGTGTCTTTGTCACCGTTGCTGTAAATGACAGTGGCGTTAAAAGTATTGCCTACATTTGTGGTTGCTATGACAATATACACATTGACTTTTGAACTCGCCTACCCAGGGCGAGCATTACGACGGGCAGATCTGATCGTAGACGGCAGACAAAGTTAACGTATACTATCGTTTCATACAATTTATGGTCGTAAATAGCCGCAAATTGACGTTTGGTATGCACCGTATTACGGCCGTCTTTTGCCGTCTCATAAACGGCTAATTACATCACTAAAAACGGTCAAAACATTGAGTATCCGACCACTTACGGCCGTTTACGATACGTTGAAATACGGCCGTAATATGGTGCATACCCAACGGCGAAAAAATTAACTAAAACGGCCATTTACGACCATACTTCTTGGACCTGCGTATTGCTAGGAAAAATGTGTTCTTCACCTTATAGGTCTCCCTTTTCAGGAATTAGGTGGAGAGGAGCTGCAAAACTACGACTTAAAACTTAAGCTCACTATTTTCCTTCGTATGATATATACGAGTTCCACAAAAGTTAAGTAAAACTGCTCAAAATTATCACCATGTACTTTAATAGTTTTGAAAGTATGAAATCGTCGAGCAGAAAAAAAAATATTGTGAAGCACGACAAACATCGTCGTTGGCACGCAAAAAATACTGCTGTAAACATAAAATGTTTGACAAAAAAGTGAATTTATCTCAATTAAACTTGTGTCAATCTTTTATGCGCTGCCGATCATCGCATTTTCTTCTTCACAATTATTTTCGTCATCATCATCTTCGTCATCATCATTGTTATAAATAAATTCTTCTAATTGTTCAAATATTAAATTACAACAAGTAGCTGATTGTGATTTTTTCAATGTTTTCTCTTTTATTTGTTTTTTTATCTTTTTTGATAAATTCATACTATGATATAATATTAATACTTTTAAGTTTTTCAATGAACATAATATAAATAAATCTTTATCTGTATATTCTTCTCTATTATTATTGCATGGGTATGATAATGATAATTCTTCTAGACTATGAATTATTGATATAATCGTGAATGATGGAAAACAAATAGATTCTAAATCTAAGATTTTTAAATTATTATATTGAGCCAAGCTAATCAATAAATTGTCTAAATATTCTCTTGTTATATTGATTTTATTGAATGATAGACTTTTTAGATGAACAAATTGTTTTAAAATGTTGACATGCTCTGAAGTTAAATGGAGTTCATATTCATCTTCAGTACAATCAGCTTGTACTGGATGTTGTATCATCATTAATTCATCATACTTAATATTTTTAGTACTGATTTCTAATTCTTTTAATGTTTCTTTTAATGAAAGTAAGTAAGTAAAACCGTTAATATTTAATTTACTTTTTATAGGTGAAAATCGATGTGATTTTAATGAACTAATTGTTGATATTTTACTTAAATAATATAATATTTCATTTGTAATCAATGTAGATTGAAGATGAATATATTGTAATTGAGGTAGATGCGAAATAGATGACAAAATTTGTAGATCATTAGGCAATATTTCAAACCATTCTAAATGTTTTAAATTAGAAAGATATTGAATTGCATTTAACTGTTGAATTCTACTTCTTTTATATGTATAATTATCTTGTCGAATAATCAATTTTTGTAATTTTGTTAAATGTTTAAAATATTTACCCATATCAAATTCAATTTTTGCACTTGGCTGAACAAGAACAAAAAAATATCTTAAATTGGAAAGAAGATGTAATGATGATAGAATAGAAAGACAGGATGTGATTGAATCGGAAAGTTCTCTATTTAAATTCGATATTGAATATGGTTGCATTGCTAAAATTAATGTTTGTAATGTTTGAGAAATACAATTAAATAAGTTCGTTATAAATAATGGAGTTAATGAAATAAAACATACTTTAAGTGAGCGTAATGAAGTAAAATGGAATTGAAAATTCATTAATGGATTAATTGATAATCCACATTCATATTTACTAAATTCAATTTTATTAATATGACGTAATATTTTCGAATTTGAAACATTAACTAGTTGATTTTCATTTAATAAGGTTAATTTTGTATTTTTGTTATAACATAATTTATTTGAACTCAGTATATTGTACCATATTCTACACGTTAATGAAACTGAAATTAAAGATTCAATAGGTAAATATTGAAAAATGTGTTGACAACAAATTACAGGGATTGAAGACGGATCAAAGAAAATGGATGAATTGTCATTGGACTTGTTCAAATCAATTTGCATATCATCGAATTTTCTCTTTTTATTTTCCATTGTATTTTGATATTTTTTTGGATATAGATTTATCTGTAAGAGCAAATAAACAGTTTTTGTTATAGTGAAGAATAGCAGAGGGCACAAAAAGAACAATATCTTGAGATATATACGTTTGTCGTAAAAAGTTTGCTTATTAAACTCGTTTTATTTGAGAGAAAAACGCATTTTACTTAAAAAGTATCTTATACGAAAGTTTTTTTCATTTCAATTTGTGGTGAGGAGACACTTTTCATTTCTGACATCTTAATTGATGGTAATATAATGAAATTACAAAACGTATGATGCTATTGTTCGATCACGACTTTAGTCAGAAAGAAATAAAAATTTTATATTCAAAGTTATTGAATTCTTGGTTTCTGAATAAAATAACTCAAATAGCTTTTCGCATATCTATACTACAGTAACACATGTAAACATCTTTACCTTGTATGTGCATTGTTAAAGTATGTAACGGTTATCATCAGAGAAATATACTTAAAAGTGAAAAACAACATTGACCATCATGAAGAGCAAATAAGTGATGTAAAAAAGTGCAGCTTCTTTTTACTCATCTTTCGGATGAAAAGTAATACTCCTCCTCGACAATTTTAGACAACAATATTCGATATTAAAAGAATAGTTTCTGCGATGCTTAAAAAACTCGTGAGGCTGAAGTGAAGATTACGTTGTATGCAACAATGTTATCAGTAACATTTCATTGCAAAAAAATAACATTGAGAAGTATGTCTTGATATTCTGAAGTAATTTGGATGGATTGTGACTGACGTAAGATTTTTCAGAAATCTACTAGAAATTCGAAGTACTTCCAATTTACATTTTTCATTTAGATTATTAAATAGGGTAGCCTATGCCAACAAAGGTCTATGTTCAAATTTTCATACTTCTTGGATGTTCCACAAAGAAAGTTATTTAGGCAACAAGAATCCATTTTTGATGGTATGAGTTGTTTATGTTCTCAGAGACTTCATTCAATGAAATAACATCCGATCCAGATGAAACTATTCGGCTAGAAATACTTTGATATGGGCTAGAATTTGGAATGATGGAAAGTTTCCAACTTTTCTCTAAAAGACCCATTCCCAGTTCCAGGATATTTCAAGATTCATTTCATATTTTTAATAATAGAAAGTGATAGCCCATCACTTTTGGCTACAGCAGTCTCCTGCATGATTGATATTTTTGATTGCGATCACGATCACGATCGTGAGTGATGTGATCGTGAGTAGAGATATATGCCGAGCGACTGAATCACCGCCGCCACTAATGATTGCAAAATATTTGAGAAATTTCAGTTGTCACTGCAGTTGCCAAAAATAGTTGTTAATGATCTAGGCTGCCACCGCTGTGACACAAAAATAGATACTTGATTTTTGAAATTTTTGAACATCTAAAATTAGTTTTCAGAGATGTTCTTGCCTACTTTCTTATCAATAAGTTCTCTGCCGTTGTTTTCTCTCTTTTCCGGTCCAAAATTCCCCGGAATTAAGAAGATTTTTTTAAAAATCCAACAAAGAATACAAGCCGCTGCCGATCAATGCATCGGCTTACATCTCTACTTACGTATATTTTCATCATTCTTGGAAGAAACCTATATGCACGACATCTTATTATTTGCTTTTTCATCATTGACTTACTTGAAAATCAATAACCTTATCCCTGTAGTAAACGAACAGACAAGAAAGCACGCTATTTGAGTAAATATTGTAAATCCTAGAAGTTTTCTTTCCCTTTCATTGCTAATGAATATATGTAAGTGCTACTAGGATATTTCTCATGCGTCAAAAGTGTGTGGGTGTGGATATCACAGAGGGAAGAACAACACTCACACCCACACCACCCTAGCCCAGTCCGATCGTTTTTTTTCTTGTTTGCTAGTTTGCATAGATGTCGCTACAGTCAATATTTTTTGAAAATCATACGGATTTCAAAATTGTTAGTTGGATTGATTATTATCTAGTTATCTTTCATCAAGAAGTTAATATGAAAACAAAAAGTGCATCATATAGAGCGCCATATTTCTAAAAATAGATTTCATAAATACGATATAAAACGGTAGGTAAACGGTGTTCGTTACGGAGCCGTATACGGTGCTCTGTAAACAGCACCGAAAGCGCTCCGTTATTCATTCCTAACAATACCGTAAAAGAATATCCGCATAAGAAAAAGTGATGAGTCTCTATGAAACAGCCGTTTTTTTATTCGTTTAAGGCCATATACGGACCGTATCGTTTGACCTGGGTAAATTGACAGAAAGATTGAGAGGACAAAATAATGGAATATGTGGATATCCGAAAGTAGAAGTACTGTAGTATACAACGGAAAATTGAATCCCATCCACAAAGCCACTTAACCGGTGGAGTTAAAATTAGTTTAATCAAAATATCAAACAATGAATTGCAATTTTTAGCGAATGTATTCATTGAAAAAACTGTCATTCTTAATGATCGAAGATCCTGACAAATAGTTTGCATTCACAATTATTCACTTAGTTGATACTATGTAGCTAATAAAGGAGAGAATTCCTTAATTAGAGACAATGTGTACAAGGAACTATTCTTATTGTGATATAGGTGAAAATTTTTCGATTTATTATTATCGAATTTCTAAATTTCTTCATATAAATATTTACCGTTTCACTAATCATACTGTATCCAAAACAGACATCAATACAACAACTTGCCAGCTGTGACCTACATGATGGATGTAAGTCATTTAATTATATCTTCAGTAGGTTTATTCATCACTAAATATTTTTTATTGAAATTAAACAAAATATTAATTAAGTATTAAACTCATCTTTATAATGTTTTCAGCTATACGATTCATCATCTTCTTTTTCAAAATAAATGTCTATAGCATTTAAATTACTGTATTAATGTATCTAGTAGGTTAGCGAACTAAAGTCGATTTTATTCTATTAATGTTTTACTATGCAAATAACTGACTACGTATTTCTCCCAGTAAACAAATATATAAAGAAAAAAAAGAGTGAAGCATGTATATCTTCACTTAAACGAGAAAGGTTTTGATCATATATCGTTCTCATTTCTATCTTACTGAACACAGGTCTAGAGCTAACTAACTATGGAAAGTAGACAATGTTCATAATGACGTTTTCTTTTTTCTAACCCAAGATTGAGAAAAGACTTCTAAATGAGACATCTATCTAAGAAATTCGCAGTGGTTCCAGAAATTTCAATCTGGGGTAGGAGCGGTCGAAAATATTGAAGAAGTGGTAATCATTTAAGAAATGATTAGAGAAGTTTTTTCAAAATGCAGTCGAATGTTTTTAATGAGCAGTGAGCGTTTTTTAAAAATCTGTGGGCAAAAAGTGGAACAAATGTTTCTATTTTAATGTAGAAAACCGAATGTTTTCAAAATTGGGGTATTATTTCACTATTCTCTCTGTCATGAATAGAGTATGCATCGTTTCAAAATTTCAAAAGACTTAGCGTAAGTCTTTCGTACTTGCTTTATTCATTGGAGGATGCTGCTCATTCTACGCAATGAAGAGAAGAAACCGCATTTATATTTATTGATAATATCTGAATACACATCAAAGATGCGCTTGGCTCTGGATTTTTAAGATTTAAACTGAACCTAAGAAGTTTTCATGATTTTCAGTGGAACTCTGTTTTTATTCCAGACGATTCACAACCATTATACACGTTAGAGTATCTGTAAGTCAATGGCACTGCAATCATTATGTATTTTTAATTAATTCTTGTTCACAATAATACAGTTTATGTATCCGTCACATACTATAGAGAAAAAAGAACAGTAGCGAAAATACCAAATATAAAGGAAACATATTACAATGCTAGTTCAGAAGACTTCATAGAGAATAGTCCTTCGTTATTTATCTTTATCATTTTTTATTAGATTTTCTAAATGAGTTTATAAGAATAATATCGTCCATAATATCAGGAGATAACCGTGATCATGTTTTGTGACTATGCTCCCTACGTGGAAAATTAGCGTTCAACAGTAGCACATGTTTCTGGTACAGCAAAAACGTGTTTGCTGATTTTCGTCAAGTGTGGATATCAAAAGTATTCCCAATTCGGCTTGTAAATCAAACTCGAACCGTATCCATTTCTGATGCGCATATATTCGGTAAAGCAATATAAATCTGACATAGTTTTCTTTGCTAGAAAATCTATCAATCACTCGCTTTTATTCATCATTTATGTCGAAATGGTGTTAACAGCCTGCATTATTCTCTTCATCTTCGAGAAATATCCTTCACATGTTACTTGTTCATTTTTACTTTTTGTGAAAATACATCTCACATTGGAACTGGTTCTAAGACTTAGTGCGACTTATGTATCGAACTCAGGAAAATATGCAGAACAATATACAAAGAAAAATCTGGACAGCGAAAAATTTATTCTGATATTACCACCCAGAGCTGAATCAACATAAAAATGGATAAATTGCAGATGATTGATTAAGATTAAGACGTATATTGCTGGATAAATGGTGAAAGTAGTTGAAGGCGAATAAATTCTACAAGTTCTTTTTCCTTAGATACGCACCAAGAAACGTGCTTCTTTCTATTCGTTCTCTTTTTCTCTCTTATTGTTCGCTTTAATACGCGTTTCTCTCCATCTATAAAATTTATGGAGTGTTATAAACACCTGCTTTTGAGAATCATATCTCACCGATTAGCAATTTTCAAGTACCTGAAAAACACAGCATTTTGTTCGAAATGGTGGCTTAGATTAGATAATACTGCTAGAGTTGGTTCCTAATAGCTTACAAAGAGCGCAACAGTTTATTCATTTTGATGTGCTGTATGGGATACGGAGGATCTTAGCTCTGCTAATGTTAGCTATATATACATATATATACACGATACGATATTTAAAAAACACTTTTACTCATCCGAAATATATTCAAGGTATGACGGATATATTTAATCCAGTTTCATTTTTGGCATCGGGTCATTGATCATCATTAACATTCAATAATATAAATAACGGTGTTGGATGTTC